TGGGTGTCAGAAACACGTTCCCCTCCCAGCTGTACTTGGCTCCCGGAAACACAAACTCTTTTTGCCCTGCTCGCTGACCTCTGGGCTCAGAAACACACTGTCCCTGGCCTTTCCCCCTGTCTTTGGGTGTCAGAAACACGTTCTCCTCCCAGCTGTACTCGGGTGCCGGGAAACACAAGCTCTTTTTTGCCCTGCTCGCAGCCCTCTGGGCTCGGAAACACACTGTCCCTGGCCTTTCCCCATGTCTTTGGGTGTCAGAAACACGTTCTCCTCCCAGCTGTACTCGGCTCCCGGGAAACACAAGAAGCTCTTTTTTGCCCTGCTCGTTGCCCTCTGTGTGTCAGAAACACGTTCTCCTCCCAGCTGTACTCCGGTGCCGGGAAACACAAGCTCTTTTTTTCCCTGCTCGCAGACCTCTGGGCTCAGCAACACACTGTCCCTGGCCTTTCCCCTGTCTTCGGTTGTCAGAAACACGTTCTCCTCCAAGATGTACTCGTGTCCCGGGAAACACAAGATTTTTTTTGCCCTGCTCGTTGCCCTCTGGTCTCAGAAACACACTGTCCCTGGCCTTTCCCCTGTCTTCGGGTGTCAGAAACACATTCTCCTCCCAGCTGTACTCGGCTCCCGGAAACACAAGCTCTTTATTGCCCTGCTCGCTGACCTCTGGTCTCATAAACACACTGTCCCTGGCCTTTCCCCCTGTCTTTGTGTGTCAGAAACACGTTCTCCTCCCAGCTGTACTCGGCTCCCGGGAAACACAAGCTCTTTTTTTCCCTGCTCGCAGACCTCTGGGCTCTGCAACACACTGTCCCTGGCCTTTCCCCCTGTCTTTGGGTGTCAGAAACACGTTCCCCTCCCAGCTGTACTTTGCTCCCGGGAAACACAAACACTTTTTTGCCCTACCCGCTGCCCTCTGGTCTCAGAAACACACTGTCCTTCGCCATCGCCGCTGTCTTTGGTTGTCAGAAACACGTTCTACTCCCAGATGTACTCGTGTCCCGGGAAACATAAGCTCTTTTTTGCCCTGCTCGCTGACCTCTGGGCTCAGAAACACACTGTCCCTGGCCTTTCCCCCTGTCTTTGGGTGTCAGAAACACGTTCTCCTCCCAGCTGTACTCCGGTGCCGGGAAACACAAGCTCTTTTTTGCCCTGCTCGCTGACCTCTGGGCTCGGAAACACACTGTCCCTGGCCTTTCCCCATATCTTTGGGTGTCAGAAACACGTTCTCCTCCCAGCTGTACTCGGCTCCCGGGAAACACAAGCTCTTTTTTGCCCTGCTCGCAGCCCTCTGGGCTCGGAAACACACTGTCCCTGGCCTTTCCCCATGTCTTTGGGTGTCAGAAACACGTTCTCCTCCCAGCTGTACTCGGCTCCCGGGAAACACAAGAAGCTCTTTTTTGCCCTGCTCGTTGCCCTCTGTGTGTCAGAAACACGTTCTCCTCCCAGCTGTACTCCGGTGCCGGGAAACACAAGCTCTTTTTTGCCCTGCTCGCTGACCTCTGGGCTCGGAAACACACTGTCCCTGGCCTTTCACCATGTCTTTGGGTGTCAGAAACACGTTCTCCTCCCAGCTGTACTCGGCTCCCGGGAAACACAAGCTCTTTTTTGCCCTGCTCGCAGCCCTCTGGTCTCAGAAACACACTGTCCCTGGCCTTTCCCCCTGCCTTTGGGTGTCAGAAACATGCTCGCCCTGCCCTCCCTGCTGTCCTCGGGTCTCAGAAACACGCTGTCCTTCGCCATCGCCGCTGTCTTCTGGTCTCAGAAACGCGTTCCCCTCCCAGCTGTCCTTGGGTCCGCCACAAGGTCTACTAACGGCGCGGCGTCCGCCAGGGTCTCGCGTCACACGGGCACAAACCATGGCCTCTGCCGAGGGTGACATGACGCGACAGGGCTTCACGGCCACACAGGCCCTGGAGCAGATGTTGGCGTCCGAGGACGAGGGGCCCGAGGAGGACGTGTCGGAAGAGGAGGACGGCGAGGAGTACGACCCGGAGCACGACGACGACGCCGTTGCCGACGAAGAGGCCCCGGACGTTGCGGACGCCGTGGCAGACGACAATCGCCCGGGGGAAATGAGGGCCGACGGCGAGATCTACCTGTCGAAGAACGGCAAGATCGCGTGGTCCTCGGTGCCCTGTCGCGTGCGGCAAGGGTCGCCGCCCTGGGGACGTCACGATGCGGTTGCGGGGCCGACGGCGCAGGCGGCGGCGGGAGAGTGCGACATCGCCTCGGCGTTCAGCCTGTTCATCACGCCGCGCGTGGAGGCGATCGTCCTGGAGGCCACGAACCGCGAGGGCTCTCGGCGACACGGAGACGCCTGGCGCGGGATGGACGCGGTCGACCTGCGTGCCTACGCGGGCCTGCTGATCCTGGCCGGTGTGTACAGGTCCCGGGGCGAGGCCGCGGCGAGCCTCTGGGACGCCGAGAGGGGACGGCCAATTTTCCGCGCGACCATGCCGCTCAAGGTGTTCTACGCGTACTCGAGCCTGCTGCGCTTCGACGACCGCGAGACGCGGCCCGCGAGGCGCGCAGTCGACAAACTGGCCGCCGTGCGAGAGCTCTGGGACGAGTGGTCGGCGCGCCTGCCGAGCCTCTACAACCCCGGGCCCGACGTGACGGTGGACGAGCAGCTGGTCCCGTTCAGAGGTAGCGGCTGCGTGTTTGTGCGTGTGTGTCTGTGTGTGTGTATGTCTGTGTGTCGCTCAACCTTGTGCTCCTTCTTGCCCAGGTCGCTGTCCGTTTCGCCAGTACATGCCGAGCAAGCCGGGGAAGTAACGGGATCAAGGCGTGGGTGTGCTGCGACGCCCGATCCAGCTACGCCTGGAAGATGCAGGTGTACACGGGGAAGACGTGCGACGGCCCAGAGAGAAACCTGGGCGCGCGAGTCGTGTTCGACCTGACGGAGGGACTGCCCCGGGACCACACGGTCACCTGTGACAATTTCTTCACGTCCTACGAACTCGCGCAGCGGATCCTCGCGGAGAGGGGTCTCGCCCTGGTCGGCACGGTGCGCAAGAACAAGCCCGAGCTGCCGCCCGCGCTGCTCGCAACCAAGACCCGACGGGTCCTGTCGTCGGCGTTCGCCTTCACGCCCATCGCCACGCTGGTGTCCTACTTGGCCCGGCGAAACAGGAACGTGCTGCTCCTGAGCACGCTGCACGCGGACGCCCGGCTCAACGACCGCGCGGACAGGAAGCCCGCGCTCATCCTCGACTACAACCGCAACAAGGGCGGCGTGGACAACCTGGACAAGGTCATCGGCACGTACAGCTGCCGACGGATGACCGCGCGCTGGCCCCTGGCCGTGTTCCACAACATCCTCGACGTGTCCTCGTACAACGCCTTCGTGATATGGCGTGAGGTCCACCCCGACTGGATGCCCGGCAAGCGCAACAAGAGGCGCGTGTTCCTGGAGCGCCTGGGCAAGGCGCTCGTGAGGCCGCTCATCGAAAGGCGCGTCACCCTGCCATGCACAGAAGCGTCCGCGGCGGTCGTGAGGGCCGCGCGCGAGGAGGCCCTATGCGGCACGCCGCCCAATGACGGGCTCGATCCGGACGCCCTGGGGCCGAGAGCGCCCGTTGGAATAGATGGACAACGTTGAAACACGCGCACGTTGTTGTATTTCGGCCTCCTCTTTTTTTGCAAAACTCTGAGGGCTGTGAAAAGAGATCGCGGGTCACTCTGACCTGCTCGACTCGGGCTGTGTACGCGACGCGAGGACACATGGCTGGGGTTAGATGCCGGGGTTGTGAGTTCGAGCCTCGCCCGTTGCGGTGTTTTTTTACACCCTCGCCGATAAATACTAATAAATGTAGTAATAATAGATGGACAACGGTGAAACACGCGCACGTCATTGTATTTCGGCCTCCTCTTTTTTGCAAAACTCCCAGGGCTGTGAAATGGGATCGCGGGTCACTCGGACCCGCTCAATTCGGGGTGTGTACGCGACGCAAGGACAACGTCAGGGTTAGATGCCGAGGTGGCGAGTTCGAGCCTCGCCCGGGCCGGTGGTTTTTTACACCCTCGCCGATAAATACTAATAAAGGTAGTAAGAATAGATGGACAACGGTGAAACACGCGCACGTTGTTGTATTTCGGCCTCCTCTTTTTTTGCAAAACTCTGAGGGCTGTGAAAAGAGATCGAGGGTCACTCTGACCTGCTCGACTCGGGCTGTGTACGCGCCGCGAGAACAATGGCTGGGGTTAGATGCCGGGGTTGTGAGTTCGAGCCTCGCCCGTTGCGGTGGTTTTTTACACCCTCGCCGATAAATACTAATAAAGGTAGTAATAATAGATGGACAATGGTGAAACACGCGCACGTCGTTGTATTTCGGCCTCCTCTTTTTTGCAAAACTCCCAGGGCTGCGAAATGGGATCGCGGGTCACTCGGACCCGCTCAATTCGGGGTGTGTACGCGACGCGAGGACAATGGCTGGGGTTAGATGCCGGGGTTGTGAGTTTGAGCCTTGCCCGTTGCGGTGGTTTTTTACACCCTCGCCGATAAATACTAATAAAGGTAGTAATAATAGATGGACAACGGTGAAACACGCGCACGTCGTTGTATTTCGGCCTCCTCTTTTTTGCAAAACTCCCAGGGCTGCGAAATGGGATCGCGGATCACTCGGGCCCGCTCAATTTGGGGTGTGTACGCAACGCGAGGACAATGGCTGGGGTTAGATCCCGGGGTTGTGAGTTCGAGCCTCGCCTGGGCCGGTGGTTTATTTTTTCGCACTCGGCGATAAATACTAAAAAAGATAGTAATAACAGATGGACAACGGTGAAACATGCGCACGTTGTTGTATTTCGGCCTCCTCCTTTTTGCAAAACTCTTTAGGGCTGTGAAATGAGATCGAGGGTCACTCTGACCCGCTCGACTCGGGGTGTGTACGCGATGCGAGGACAACACAAGGGTTAGGCAGTCAACTGACACATTAAAATGAATTTATGAAAAGTTCACCAACTTTTTTGGAAAGTGTCAAAACTGTAAGTTGCACCGCATCGGCAAGGTGGCCAACTGGTAAGGCGTCGGTCTCGTAAACCGAAGATCATGGGCTCAATCCCCATCCTTGCCTTTAGCAAGTCTAAACGGTGCATTGTGGTCCATGCTCGAGGAGCTTGCTTTTTTTTCTTCGAAAAAAGTTGACCCATAACTTAGATAAAATGTTTTCGAAGGGTGTTTTTGAAAATATTCCTTGACCGGGGACAGGCAAGGGTTTAATCTTCATTTAGCCCTTAGGCAGTCAACTGACACATTCAAATGAATTCATGAAATTTTCACCAACTTTTTTGCAAAGTGTCAAAACTGTACGACGTACTGCATCGG